TTAACTTTTTGCATTCTATTACAGAAATTTGTTGCTGCAGAAAATTAATCTGGAATAGTGGTTTTTACTATATATATATTTGATATAGGAGTTTTCTGAACCGATCAAATACTGATTATTGATTGGCCAATTTTTTTATATATAAAATCGCCGCAGAGATGCCCATACTTTTTGAACTAATGACTCTCTCCGTTTTGAATGGCGTAAGTTTGTAAACCCTCAATTGAAATTCTCACAAGTGTATATTCTATATATTCTTCTTAACCCAGATTGGATCACAAAAGTGGTGATTTCTGTCGTCAATCACGGTTTATCCTATATCGGAAAACTTCAGATCTGATATAGAGGTCGATAAATGTAATGGACGAGAGTTCTTCACGGCGCAGTAGTACTCAATCAACCACAACAACAACATCAAGAGGAACCGACCTACAACGCCAACACCGTATTACTAGAGCTCTAGCTCGAAATAATCAAGAAGCTAATCAAGTACTTAACGAAAACATACCACAACAGTTAAGGTATTATTTTCGAAGAAGAGAAATAAATATGGATATTCAACCAGAGCCAATGGACATTGATGAGCCAGCTGCATTGGAAATTTCTGAAAATGCAGCTAGAGATGACTCAAATATGATGAACATGGATCATCCTAATGATTCTGGGTTGAACTCTGATGGTAACGACATTGAAAACGAAAATATTAATCACAATGTCGAATTAGGACACGACACTGATAGCGATGATGAAAGTATTCAACACAATGATAGTATTACGAATGAGATACGAGAGGAAATTGTAAGCCAAAGAGTTTCTCTTCCTGATAATGTCAGGGATGCACTCGTAGCTATTGCGCGAACAAAAGCAAACAGCGATCAATTGGGTCGGCTTGCAAATCACTTCTTATCTGATAGCAACCCACTTACAAATTGGAATCTTGCTTTGCTTGTTCATAAACTGGCGGAAATAATTAAGAAAGAGAGCGTCACTGGAGGACTGCCACCTGAATTCATGTTTTCAGGTTCTGGTGATATGGATCCGTTGGTTATGCAGAGCTTAATTGATTCCGCTAT